AGATGATCAAATTTTAAAGTACATTTTTTGCCATCCTGTGATCTCATTAGCCAAATATCGTAGAGCTATTTTCATGGGCATGAATGTTGATGTTAGATTCAGTTTTAAATCAGGCTGTGATCTTAAACTCTCACAGCACTGATTTTAGAGTAATGTGCAACAACTGTAATGTCATTTATATTTGCAACCTGCTTTTTCTCCAGTCAGGGTTGTGGTTAAATCTAAGTTGTTCTTTTGTGTGATTGCACACTGCGCATCGCAGGACCCTTGAGCACGCTGTACAGCAGACGTTTCAGATCAGTTTTATCTACAAATCACCAAATTACAACAACAGTCACCTGGTAGTGAGACTGTTAGACACACAAATGGTGGAAAAAGTAATTTTCAAATTTAGGAAACATTAAATGATTCGATTAACATTTATGGTTTTATTTATTATTACACCGTTTTCCAGTCCTTTTACATCTATGACAAAATGTGTACAGACTTTACGGAGGGCCGTACTTTAAATTTTTAACCTTTACTTTTTAAACACATGTCTGTGAATTACTTGCATAATATCAACATATCAAGGAGTCTGTTTTTCTTTACTCAAAGAAAAAACTCAAGAGTCAAAAAACTTCACAATGTGTCAAATTAAAGCACAATTTCTCCAAATGTGCACTTCTTTTTCAGTCAGGGTGGATTTACAGCATCCACATCAGCTCAGAAAATAAAAATACAATCGTGAGAAGAAGTGAACTTTAACATTGGAGCTTGCGTTCGAGACTTGCTTAGATGATGTGAAGCATCTCATGGATCTTCTTTCTTGTTTTATGCATCAGCCTTGTGTACTTTATTTGAACAAATGTAGGGAGAAGCAGCTCCTTTTTAGCTTCTGTGATGCATTTACTTCTCACACCTTAAACTAGATGTGATTTTCCAAATGTGTGTGGAGCAAAATGACTTTTCACTGATGATGTAAATGTCCTGACCAAGAATCATTCAGGATTAACAACACAAACTGTTCTGATAGCAGAAACAGTCTGTCTTATACTTCTCAGAGGTTACTGTTAGTTTTACAAACACATTTTTTTCATGTCTGTTTATGTGGTTTTCATGGGTAAAGTGATTATCTAACTTTTCTTTGCTCTCCAGTATATATGGGGAAACTTGCAGGCTTTATTAAAACTGTCACAACATATTATCTGATGCCGCCTCAGGGCTTATACTATATCCAGATGCCACTCTATACGACACAAATGTCTAAATGATTTCCATTTCTGTACCTTATGACAGCTGAACCAACCATAGACAAACAGGTCTGACAGCTTGCGCTATAAAGAAATAAATGCACGTAACACACACTGCACAAGTTTTCATTGTGGACATTTCTGGCATCAAACAAAATGTATTTGTTGAAACTCTTCCCCAAACAGTGCTGGAATTTTTGCAGTAATAGCTGGATAACTGAAATTCCAG